TTTTTTCTTGTATGTTTTATACACTTTTATAGACTTGAGCAGGAATTAACTAAATAATATTTAGTTATAAAATGTCTCACGAAAGTTTAAATAATTTAATTAAGCATGAATTATTAATTTATTTTGTTTTATTCCTATGCTTTTTAACATAATTGGTAAGATATAAAATAATGCTTATGTAATCCCATATTTTTCAAATTCTGTTCTGAATGTTACGTACATGTAATAATTTTAAAGTTAGATTCTTTAAAATTTTAGGTAAACTATAAACCAATATACAAGTAAGTATATGATAAACTAATGATAATATATTTTTTATATTTGTGTTATATCTTAATTGATAGTGATATCGTAATGCGAATTATTGCCACGAGTTGTAAAGCAGATATTCATTTCAAGAATTTTCATCATGACCTAATTTTTTTTATCTAATTATCTTTTAAAAAAATCACGTAAACAATCATGATAAAATAATTTCGATTAGACATGTGCATTTTAAAATTAAAGTAACTAAAAATAAGTTACTATTGATTTGTTCTCTTTAAGTTTTAGTTTCTAATAGCTTTCGCCCGCGACTCCGGTCGCGTAGAATTAAAAAAAAAAACAAAAGTTTGTGTTTTCCCAGGCTATCCACTACATCTATACCAAATTATCGAAATCCTTTCAGCAGTTTAGGCTACAAACTCTAACATCCATTCGTCAATCTAAACTTTCGCATTTATAAAATTAGTATTATTAAACTTCTACATTGACATGAAATCTCATATAGGCCAGTAACTATACTGGCCAAAAGTATGCTAGGTGTTAAGTTATTGTACACGCATAGCATTTGACACACAGTTTAATATACGTCAATGCATTGCATCTGTCTATATTAAAGTTGTTTGTGAACTGGTGATAAATCTCCGATGAAAAGTTTGACATCTACGTAGATAAACGGATTATATGCATAAAATTGTTATTTATTTTGAGATGTTTTTATCTACATTGTTTTTATTGTTTGCGAAAATTACGTAAATACGTGTTGTTGATAATATTATGTTATTTTTTGTTCCTTGGTATGTTTTATATTGATAGTTCAAACTATGTTATTCTCTGACATATACGAAAGATGTACAAACCGATTCATATATTATATCTACTCTTTTAGTTACATGATTCTTCAATAAAACCTTCATAAACTGTCTTTTTAGTACGTTGTACTTCTATGTAATATTTCTAAACTACACAATATACAAAAAAAATCTTCATTTTTATTTAATAAAAATACTATTTTGTCGAATTTTCAGACTACCGCTATTCCCGGAGTATGGGTGTCACCGGATCACGTCAGTATGGTGTGGTGCAAGCAACTTGTGATGGCAATAAACCGATATCTCTTTGATATCGTCGACATAAATACGATGCAAATATCAGAAAACCCGCAACTCTTAATGGCTAAAGCACGTCAATATTTCGAGGTAATCTTCATACGTATTAATTGAACTAGATCCAGAACGATATTTTAGGCCAATGTTTTAACGTAACTGACAATGAGTACAGTTGGTCAATGTACATTTGTTTTTAAACTTTGTGACCTGGTGTAACACTTGGCTATTGTCTTACATTGTTTTGTCATCTGTATCTACACTAATCGATACCTAATAAAATAAAGAGGAAAGATTTGTATTTTTGTATGTATTGAAATAATTCAAAACGTAACATAGGCTGTTTTTTATTGTTTTTCAATGTCACGCGGTTTCAAACAAAACATAGTTAGTTATAATTATTTTGAACAGATCACTTTGGAAGCTTGATGTCTCTCGTATTTTTGATTGATTATATGTTTAAACTAAAAATAATTATGATCATAAACTTTTCAGGCAAATCGTTCGATGACTCTGAAACCAGATATAGTCCGTCCAGATGTTATTTTGCCAGCTGACGCATTTTGGTATGAAGATAATCGGAGAATTTATCAAATAAAACGACCTGATATTGACAAGTAAGATCGCAGTATTACGATTCCAGGTATAATATTGCAGGTTGAAAATAGGTGTAGGTGTAACATGAAATAAGCTCTCACAATGTATCAATTAACTTTGGTAGTATAAAATAGTATTTAACCTTATTCTGACCTCATAATAGGTTAGTTTATAAAATATGAAAAGAACAAGTTATTGAACAATTCGCTTTACACTAAATTGTTTCATTTTCTTCCTTAAAATCAGTATCGTGTTATAGTACCAATGTCAGGTATAAATAGCAATTTTCAAATATGACATACAAATTACGTAAAGCAAGTCAGAATAGAATTATTACAAATTTGGATATATGCCAGAATACACGTGTTAGGTACTCGATGGTTGCATATTATTAGTACGAACGTCACTCTGACGTCATCAATCGTAATTGTAACTAACGAATGAAGGCTTCAAAGGACATTGTACAAGTAAATTTAATTCAACGATTTTTATGATATTTACAATTTTGACAGCAATTTGTATTGTTATGTCTTCCTGCACCAGTTAGTCGTTTTATTTCTTGTTCCTTATTTTAAATAGTGTTTAATAATGCAATATGACAATGAATTACTAATATAATAATGCAATCTATAATAGTTATTCCATAATATAAGCCAGGTATTGTAAATATTATCAGAATTATCATGCGTCAGTAAAATTATTTATTAATGATATCACAGTGATATATCATAAAATATAAACACATTACTGTGTTTGCTAAACCCATTAGATTTGAGAATTTGAAGCAATGACTCATAAAAGTAAATAAAACGCTGATCGCTTGAAACAGCACAGCTGAGCAAATATTACGTTTTTCAATTCTTAAAAACTTTTGAGGTATTAAGGGTCTGTCCCACCAAATTGTACCATAAATTGTCTGATAACAATCCAACGTGTAAAATATGTGATGGAAATATCGGATTTTGTTCCATAGAGCTATCTGACCCTTTATCAGCCGGTGGTGGGACATGCCCTAAATCTAAACTAAATTAAACTGTATAATATTGTTTATAACTGTTTCGTTTTAGGGTAACTTTCTTAATGATCCGTTTGGCGAAGTTTCCTCAGAATAGATTTGTTGCGATTGAAACGGTTAACGTGAACGACAAGGATTGGATATTCGGATGCAACGCGGCGTTCACACACAACACTTATAGACATTGGTTAGTTACTAAAATATATTATTTATATTCTATACATTTGAAAAAAAATCGTAAGAGATAATTTCATAGATAGAATATTATTTAGGTAAAATTATATTAATAGTCTAATGGTTCTGGGTATGGATTTACGATAAGGTAGTCGAGGGTTCGACTCCCGCCATTCGTCTTGTAAGCCATATCGAAGCACAAGCCTAGTGTTTAGTTGGAATGTTAAAAGAAGTATTATTAAAATAACAACAAATCTACCTTATAGAATTAATTGTTTACTAAGGACTAATCATACTTCATACTAATATTATAAATGTTAAAGTTTAGATGGATGGATGGATGCTTGTTAGAGTTTGTAACCTAAACGGCTGAACGGATCTCGATGAAATTTGGCATAGATGTAGAAGATAGTCTGGAAGAACACATAGGCTATTCATTTTTGTTTTTTTCAATTCTACGCGGACGGAGTCTCGGGCTAAAACTAGTAATACATAATCTATACTAAGTTACTTTTTAAGTAACCATTAACGATGATTATTTCGTTATTTTCATATTATAGCAAACAAGCCACTTCATTATCAGAATTAAGTCGATGGAGTGGTTCAGCGAATGAATCTGAACGTAGGAAGTTGGCAACAGTAGACCTGCATGCTCTAAAACAAGCATACCCTGGCTGGTCGCATGTCGTTGTTAGAGTATCTCCAACTAAGAAACCGGTAAGTAAAATATATAGTTTTACTAATATTGTAAATCCTTTAGATGTATGGATGGATGTTGGTATCTCCCGAACGGTTTAGTAAATCTAGATGAAATTTGCCATAGATGTAGTATAGTCTGAAATAACAAATAGGCTTACTTAAGTTTTTTTTAAGATCTAGTTTTAATCATACTTCATACTATTATAAATGCGAAAGTTATGATGGTTGGATAGATGGATGTTTGTTAGGGTTTGTATCCTAAACGGCTGTACGGATTGCGATGAAATTTGGTATAGATGTAGAGGATGGTCTGGAAGAACACATAGGCTTTTGTTTTTTTTTAAATTCCACGCGGATGGAGTCGCGGGCGAAAGCTAGTACAGGGTGTCTGGTGGCAGATTTATATTTTCAAAATTAAAAAAAAAAATACTATTCAACATAAAGTTTTAATCAAATTACCAAAACACAGGGTACAAATGCGGATTTCATTTTTTAAAAATTATGTCATCTAAATGTCTTCCATCTTTTTGTATACACTGCTCAAAACGAAGCCTCGTATTCCGTGCTACACGCTGCAGTAAGCTTGGTTGAATCGCGCTGATTTCGCGCCGAATATTTGCCTTTAAGTCCAAAACAGTTCGCGGTTTATCGGCGTATACTCTCTCCTTAAGGTAGCCCCACAAAAAAAAATCCATTGGCGTTAGGTCGGGTGATCTTGGGGGCCAAAGGATGTCCCCAAAACGACTAATAAGTTTTCCAGGGAAATTTTCCTGCAGTAAATCCATTGAAGGTCTGGCTGTGTGTGCGGTCGCACCATCCTGATGAAACCACGTGTGTGATGAGAAAGATGGATGAGCTCGCAGGTTCGGCAAAAAAAAATCCGTTATCATGAGTCGATAACTCTCACCATTAACATTTATGGCTTGGCCTCGTGCATTTTCA